TTGTAGCTTTGCGCGAAATTCAAAAACAAACAAACAAACCTAAATAAGGGAAACTCTTCCCCGATGTCTCAGTCGTATGACTGAAATTTTATAATGCTAAAAGCCGGATTTCGATACCTGTGATGGACACAGCACAGATAGTCCATTGAGTAAACTTGCGTTTAACAACAGACAGAAAGAAATCTAACAATAAGGTCACGAGTACTTCTTGAACACTATCGAAAGAAAACCTCTCAAAAACAAAATCATATTATTATTGAGATTACATTGTGCTCTTCTGAAGGTACTGACAGACCTTGCCACCGAAATTTAGAAAGCAAATATTTTATTACAATAAAAAGTAATTATAAAACACTACTATATCTGACTTTAGGCCAATATAAGATGACAATCAACTTTCAACTGATGTTTTACTAAAGCCGAAGCTAATCGTGTGCTAAATTTCACAGAGGGGAGTTTTGTATTATTTTGTTCTTTAATAATCAAATAAAGAAAATCAGAGAAAAGTTTAGATTCATCTTAAATTATTAAGAATAAAATTAGACTAATTTACAGTAAAGCAGATTAAAACTTACGATTATATCTTTATGATAGAAAGTAAGTTAACGAATTCATTTTAAAAGAACCTGATATTAGTTTATCAGCTACTACATTTATTTTCAATCTAATTATGCAAGTCACAACTGGATTTGTTCTCGAGCCATAGTCTGACCAAAACAGTGGATAACGCTGAATATGTGGTAGTTTTTCTGGACTTTGCGAGTGCTATAAAAAGGTTAGTACAAATCGGAAGATCTCGTCAAAATCTGGGAGATTTGAGAATCCTGTCAAGACTACGAATATTAAGAATATAAATCAAAGTTAAAATATCCAAGTAGCCCAACAAAGATCACATTCATATATTAAATTCATATATACTATGTTTTTTGTTTTTTTCAAAATAATTAAAAAAGGTTCTGGGCCGACATGGTTTAGGAGTTAGCGTGTCGGGCTGCGGGCAGAGAGACCAAGGTTTTATACGTGTTGTTACTGAACGTGTGCACTGTAGTAAAAGTGACAGTTAAATTCTGTTATTCACTTCAAAGAGTCGAACAAAGATCTTATGGTGATGGATGCTACTAGCCAGATGTTTTATCTCTGGTCAGTACTTCAAAATTAGAACAGATATATCCAAATTCTACGGTTCTGTGGCCTAACCATTTAGTCCTTCTGCCATTCAGGTTAAAACTTATGTTTTCAGAAATTATCCAAATCTATTACACAGTAAAAATAGCAAATTTTCATTGTATTTTTATCTGAGGATTATAAAGCCGAAATAATACTGTACGATGAATGCTTTTTTACAGATCTGTTATTTGTAGATTGAATTAAACATAAAGTTAATTAGTAACAAAATAGTTATCAGCAAAAAAAGTATAAAAAACTTAGACCTCAATTTTAGGACCAATCAAAACCTATATTTTTACCACAGTATTCGAATTTGTAAAAAAAAGCTGTAACAACTATTTTTAAGAAAGCAATATCCTGCCCTTACCCATAGTCTCAAGCTGCCAGGGATGCAAGCGCCATAGCAGACAAATCCTATTTTAATTGTTACATATTACTCCCCACATTAAATAAAGTTTGTCCTTGAGATTTCAACACACACTGCAAGCTACTAATGCTTATACAGTAACATACCAGACACCAAATGTAACGTATTTTTTTTTTTTTTTTTTTTTTGAGGAAGTAACAATCTGCCCTAACCAAGGCTTGAATCCGAGACCCCCAGCTCTAACGCTGGTGTTTTTCTATCTGAGCTATGACTACTGCGAGTTAGATCCCAAATCCCTTTCTTAAGATCAACAGACTAACAAATATAATATTTTGAAAAATATTTTTCTATTTGCTGTTAAACCCCTTTGAACTATATTTATGTGTCAGTTTGTATAGCTGTCAACAACACATCCCAAAACGGCTAAGAGCGAAAGGTTTTGAAAAAAATTGTCATTTATTATTATAATTTTCTGAAGATAAACGTATTTGTTATAAAAATTTAGTTAACTAGAGGTATTTTTCCCTCACATTTTGCATTTATCTTCATTTTTATAAAAATTAGGCCTATATATTTGGTTTCCAATAATTCGCCAGCTTTTATCGTAACGTTAAAAATAATATTTTAATATATATCCGTAGGTGTCGCTAGTTTCTGGGGTTAATATTATCGTGGGTGTATAATATCCATGGCAAGTAACGTGGTATTTATTTTTAATTTGTGCTAATTGTGGCTTAAATTTCAAAAGCAGTTCAAGCTTGGATAAACGAAACCTTCATAATTTCAATTGATAGAACGCTGATTAAATAATGAATTTAGTGAAAACTCGTGATACTTTGATACTGTAAATTTCAGATTAACACTAGTGGTAGTAACAGTTTACCCAGTTTAGGCTTTACTTGCCTTTAATCTAAACTAAAGTTTAGATCTTACTTTTTATAAACACCAACTTTTTCAAGTAAATGCTTCTCTTCGGTGAAGTTCAAAAATAGAAATAACTAGTGAGATTTTTTTATTTTGTTTGTTTCTCTAATTTGATTAAAAATTAGAAATATATAACCAATTAGCTTAATATCAAATCCTAGACTTGAAATTTAATTTTTTAGACCATAATGCAATTGCAAAATTCAGGAAATGGTAAACTTTTTAACTTTGAAGTGTTATAGCAGTAGTAAAATAGCAATTAGCATTTAACAGTGTTTAAACTTGTATTATTAAGTTAGTTTTATACTAATTGGCACAGTGACTGTTGTATCTTACAGCTGAGTTTTATACTGAACTTTGGTTATTTTAACTATGTGAATTATTATGCTTCTCCACAGAATTGGCAGAATGGACCTATTTTAATTTTATTGCATTATTTTGGTATTAACAAATAATATGTTTCAAATTAATACAGTTTAGTCATGTATTTCTATATCTGATCTATCTTTGTATTTATTGTCTATTGTTACATTTACCATGCAGTGCGTAAATATGTTGTAATGAATGCTGTATATATTTGCAATTTTTAACATTATGATGACCTTCAAAGCGTAAAATATAACTTTTATAACAAAACTGCTATTTATATATCTTTTAACTCTCTGTTATTTTGAATTTCATTTTGGTCAGTTTCTTTACAAACTTGTTAGACTTGGGTTGATCACTACAGCTATAGTTATTGCAATATTGGTATGAAAAGTTTATTCATAGATATGTTTATTGAGAGTCTCAACAACAGATTTCAGTGAAAGAAAATCATTATTGTGTTTTGTTATCTAGTTATGTTTGAAGTTTTGGTGATTCGAAAGTTTATTTTAACTATGGAAATATGTGGCAGCACTTGAACTGGGCTAATCTTCTTATTAGAGATTTGATCCAAGATCATTATTATGAATCAAATGTCTTGAGTTAAGGCACTATTGAGGACAGGTTTTCTAGTATTCTGTGCATCACTGATGGAGCTAGTAACTGTAGTTCATTAACAAAGGTAGTAACTGTTGTTTACTAACAGAGCTGATAACTATTGTTCATTAACATGAATATAATGAACAAGTTTGACAGTTTTTCTTCACCTATCCAGTGTATAGGTTTTTCTCATAGTGACTATATAGCACGTTCACACCGACAATATGTATGATAATCAACTAGTTTTTCTGATTATTATGTTCACACCCACAATATGTATGATAATCAACGGTGTGAACATACTAATCAGAAACACTAGTTGATTATCATACATATTGTTGGTGTGAACATACTAATCAGAAACACTAAACAATATGTATGATAATCAACTAGTGTTTCTAATTATTATGTTCACACCATGTTTAGACCATTCACAGAGTAAGGTGAAGTGACCAAATGAGTGAGTGAGAGGCAACTAACTCTGCCCTTTTATCCCTTATGCCAAGTAGAGAGACTTCTCGAATGTTCTAGCAAACTGAGCAAGTGAGAGTTTCATGATTCCCAGGCATAGCAGGTGAGTGTGGGAATGAAGTAAAAGTGGTACAATTTACTACAATTATATTGAGATAAATAGCATGTACGAACAATATATTTAGAATTTTACACCAATACAATACAGTCAATATTTGAAGTTGTCCAAAATCTATGCCTTTTACTCATTAAACTGTCCAAGTAAACATAATTTCACAGCATAAATCTATTGTACCGAGTTGATTGCATGGTATTTCACATAGTGTTGATAAAATATTGAGATATTACAATAACTCAATATCTAGAAGGGATGGACAAATTCTGACTACATTTGTGAAATCAGCATCATCAAGTTATCCTGAATTACTCCAGTAGCAAATATTTTGTTGCCCAGTGTAATCAAATTTGATGTTTCAAATGGTTACTCTTATTTGATTATTCCAACTATTTGGTAATCAAAATATGACTATTCATTACAATCATCTTTAATTCAAGTGTGTCTAACTTATTGTAACAACTTACAAAAATATTAAACTGATTGAAATTAAGGTTTGTGATTATTTCTGTTTTCAATTATTTCAATTACTTGGACAGTTATTGCCATTCTGTTGGTTTGTTTTAATTGATAAATCTATGTAATGTTTATCTGTATTCTGCCTGCTATGGACACACTTGTAGAGTTATAAGTTGATGTTGTTTTATAATCAGTGT